TTTTTAATTTTTTTAAATAGAAATGAGTTGACTGCATTGAGGTCAAATTGAGTAGGGAAAGAAACTTCTGCTTTGTTTTTCAGATTTTCTCATGCTGTCCCCTAGAGAAAATGTGATGCTATTCTACATTGAGGTGTTATCCTTTCCAGGGATGTTTTTATTTAAAAAGTGAAACCAGGCAGTGTTTCATTCTTTTCATTACCACAAATGAATGGATTAATCATAGTATGTTTGACTTTATGTAGGTAAATATATTAGATATGAGGCTTATTAGTGCCTGCCAGAACCACAGAAGCCGCTATTTCACGGGTATGCATACTGATAAGCAGTGAAATGTCCAAAGATGAAGGACACATGAAGAACAAAGTCTTGATGTTTTGCAAACTCCTTTGTATAGTATGATGCTTTGAATTTTAAACTTAGATGCATTGGATATGTCTAACACCTTAGTGTTTAATCCTGACTACTAGTTAACTAATTTTGTGTTCCCACTCCCTGAAATTTAATCTGAGCCTCGCTGTCCCCATTTGTAAGATAGGGGATAATAACACCATTAAAGGGTTACTGTGAAGATGGAATAAGAACAACATATATAATGGTTTTAGCAAATGCCTGAACATATGTTTTTAAAGCAAAAACCAGTAACTTCTACATGTGCTAAAGTCACAAACCTCAAGCTCAGGTTGGGATTTCAAAAGTCAAGAGAAAATGGGAGGCTGGACTTATTTAACCTTTGGTAAATAATGTAGTTCGAATGTTCAGAATCTTTCATTCTGCAGTTGCCTGGTAGGTGAGGAGTAAAAACTGGTAGCTTTCATGTTGCCCCCCCTCCCCCCAAGATGGCGTGTGCAATTTCAGTCTTTTTAATGAATGGGAGTTTTGCTTAATTTTGAAGTTTGGAAAATTACTTTCATGTCCAGGTGGTGTATTGAACCATTTATAGGGGCAATTTTGAATATAGTCCTTGGGCATTATTTTTGGTTCAAGGAGGTGTGAGCTTAAGTTTAGGTATGTTAACTTTGAAAAGGGAAATAATGTTTTTATTGGATTCTATCTTTAATTGAGAATAACTCCAATTAAACTTTTTAGTATGCCAGATTTGCTCTTTTCCCCGATTTATGTAAAATTTAGACTTTCAGACATTCTCAAATGTTTTCATTATCTTAACTTGGGGTCAAGGCAGCTCAGCTTTGAAGGTAAACCAGATATATGCATTTTCTACCCACCCTGTGTGCTTGTTGCTGGTACTAAGAAATGTTGAACTAAATGAAGTTTATGGTACATGCTGAACCTTGAAAATTTTAAAACTTGTTTTTGTAACTGCTAGTCTACATAGTCTCAAGTCACTTATCTATCTCTTGATTTTTTGTAGGCTGACCAACTGACTGAAGAGCAGATTGCAGGTGAGGAATACTTTGCCTGATTGTACCAAATTGGATTTTATTATAAATTGAATAGCCAATCTCAAAATAAGATAATTGTATGAAAAAATTCACTTTGTAGAACGTGATAACAAATGGGTGTAATGTAATATAGTAATTGAACCTGCTTTGGCAAGTGAGAAGGTAAACTTGCCTGAGAAAGATGTGTGTTGCTAACTATAATTAAAGACATGTTTTTAGGCCTTGTGGGTATACTTTGGAGCCTGGTGGTGGTCTTTTGTTGTCACTGTTGAAGGTTATCTTGCTTTAAAACATGAATTCTAGGCAATTTTTAACATTGCAACTCCAACAAATCAGTCTATACAAGAGGGCCAAGTTGTGTAACTAATAGGTAACTTGAAATGTAGAATCAGAAAGTGAATGTTGAATTTACCTCAGTTTAAAGTAGCTAATATTTTAACCTTAGAATTGCATATATAGTCAGGGAATAACCATTTCTCCAATGAAAAACCTAGATCCAAAGGTTAGCATTTATTACACATGTAATTTTGTCTTACAGTGCAGTGATAGCTTGAAATGAGCTTCTTAAATCTTGTCTCCTTTGGTTTGCTATGGAAATAAGTGAAATTGTTACATAAAACCTGATGTCATGTTGTCTTTATACCATACTATTAAACATTAGTACTTTTGATTTTATTCTAATACTTTGAGATGTCTGGTTAATATTAAAATGTTTTGGAAACTTACTAAAGGTTTTTAAAAAAATGCAATATTAAAATGTCTTTCAAACTCTATTCCTTCCATTGGAGGCTTTTATTAACACAAGCATCAAGTTTTAACTGCCACAATTTTCCTGGTAAGCAGAGAGTTTGAAGTGCTTGGAAACACTAAAGCATTTTTTTAATGCTAGAGAAAACTGAGAAATGCAGATAGAACTCATCTATGTAGCTCATTTAAAGTAATTCCTTCCCCAACCCCTGTAAACACACATTTGGAGGAGCCAGAAATCACTAATCTCAAATATTCATCACAGATATTATATGATAGGGCTATATAAAGTAGAAAGCTATTAGCATTAAGGACCAAATTTAAGCAGGTTTATTTTTACTTTGTGATTTAAACCTGAGATTTGCTTTCTAGGGTTGGTAAATTGCATGCATTGTGTTAAAGTAATCCACCAGAGCTTTAAAAATAGTTACTTTGTTGGTTTATACTATTTTTAAATGTATCAGTGAAATGCAAAATTATTCCAAAATAGTTTTTAATATAACCTCAGGAACTGACCTGGGCTGGTATTTCCAGTTTTTAAAACTCTTACATTCGCTAATATATCTGGCCTTCCTCTTCCTGCCTTTCATTTCTTGGTATTCCCAGTTAGTTAGTTGTGCCTACTGTACATAGCACAAAACGTTCACTTTAAGGTAGAAAATGTATTATTCAGGGTGCCTATCAGAGACAGAGTTGGTGCTCATTATTGCCTTCCCAAACACACACACCTCTTTAAAGAAAGTTTGTGTCTGTGAAATATGAGTCTTCAATGATACAGCATTTTTATCCAGAACAGGTGTAGTTCTCTGGAACATTGTCTTTAAGATAAATTCTGTCATTTCATTGACTTCCATCATACAATTAAAATTGTAAGTGGGAGTGATAGGAAAATCTATTGTAGATTTTCTCCCTACCTTTCTTCTTTTCTAGGCTTTTAAAGATATTCCTTAGACCCCAGGCTTTAGTAAACCTGTAAACCTGTAGGTTAGAGGAACCAAAGCTTTTATGCTACTAAAATAAAAACTGAGATCAGTGACCTTTGTTTCCTCTTGTGTTCTCGGTGCCTCCCACATAATAAGGACTGAGTAAATATTTCTTGAAGGAATAAATTGTATTTTCAAAGAGGAGTATGACACAAAAAGTGTTGTAGAACACTGCCTACCTTGGCCTAAGAATTTTCCTGCCTCTTTCCAAAGACCCTTCCTAAATTTGGTATGTTTCAATGTCCACCTTTGAGGTGAACAAATTTTGTCTTTACCTGGTGAGTTATAATCACTGGTGACCAGTAACATCCTAGCATCCAGGACCTACTTGTTGAAATGTTATCAAGCTTCATACATGCAATGCAACATTGAATATGCTAAGGTACTTTTTAAGCTATTTTTATCTTTATAATAATCATTACTACAGATTTATTTAGAAATTCTAATAACAAATAACTTGGTCTAGGAAAAAAGCATGCTTCTTGTTTAGGTGGTTACTTAGGATTGTTTACATTATCTGGTCTTAAAGAGCAATCCAGAACAGTCTAGTGTGATATCACAAGTTAATTTTGTTTGACTCTGCCATGATGTCATTAATAGTTGACATTAAGAGGACTAATAAAAAGTGTACAAGAATTTTTGTTTTTAAAAGAAATATGTGCCTAAACCTTCATTGAACTTTCAGTCAAGGTCCAATGTAGGGATAGAATTTAGTTGATAAAAAACATTAACTGTACTGAGTTTATAGCAACAATTACATAGTGCCAACAAATATCTGATACATGACCTTTAAAGGAATTAAGTTTGGTTTCCTAAATACATAGAAGTTAGTAGGCATTTGATTTTTCTTTTATTGTAGTTGCCTCATGATCTGTTTTAATAAAATTGTAAATTTATGTAACATAAATAATTAGAAAAGGGTCCTGGGGTTGCTAATGAACAAATAAAATTTAGATAATAGTGTGACTTACCTGAAAGTTTCCATTTAGGCATAACTAGAATGAATTTGAAGGAAGGTCTTATCAGTTGTGTTGAAGATAGCTGTTGTGACATTCGGGACCTGTTGTTTTCTTACTGTGCATTTAGATTTTGACTCCTGGGTTTGTATTTGAAGTCATTCTTTGGAATTACTGTTAATAATAACATGTTTCTATACATGAAGATTATACTAGTTCTGAAGTACAGGTGAGCTGTACAGGCAGGTGAATTTAAATTGTACTTTTGAGTTTATTATTTCAAGGAATTTTTACAGGTATTTCTGGCACTTTAGTGTAAAAATACAAATAGAAATTTGGAATAAACCTTTTTTATTTGTTCCTTTCTTGTATTCATAAAATAAATTGTTATAGCATACATACAGTTTTCGGCTTTTCACTTATTTCAGCAAACATAAGTTACTAGATTTTAAAATATTGAAACTTAGAACACACATATAAATTAACACCATGCATCTTCCAGAATTTGGCTTTAAGTCAAGTCATAGTAAAATTATTATAGCTAGTTACACATTGGGAATTTTGCATATAATGGTGGTGTTAAATGATGCTTGACCGTTAAGTATTACAGCAGACAATGTAGTCTAAACAAATACAATTCTCTGGGTAAGTCTAATTTTCTTGTAGCCTAAGTTATGGGAGATACATATGATGGGGGCAAACCCTAATAATAGTTTACATATTTCTAATTATTTCTACATCCTGTTTAAAAAATACCTAAGATGGAAATATTTTCATCAAATTCTGCTATTTGTAGGATTTATTGATCTATTTTGGTCGTTGGATTGATCTAGATTAGTACTGTGTACTATTTTCATAACATCAATGGGTAACTTGTTACTAAGCTTCTGGTATCAGATGAGTTTCTCTGAAAACAAGTATGATATTTAAATGAAATGGAACTGTTACTTATTCCTGAATGCAGCAAACTACAACTAGTCAGTTATATTTGATCTAAGCAATTCAAAGATTTTGAGCAGAATAAGCAGAGGAAAGTAACATAGTAATGCAAAAAGGTAAATAGGTAAGGTAAACAAGTAGTTGTTTGGATAATTTTAAAATAAAGAACCCAGGTAGCAGGCTGTTATAATTGTCTAGGCAAAAGGTGATGGGGTCATGAACCACATTATTGGTTGTAGTGAAGAAAATCCAGTATTTAAATAGCAGAGTTCAATTAGAGGGAAAGAGCTTAAATGGCTTTTGCTTGTGTTCCTAGGGTGTGTATGGAATTCATAAGTCTTTCTTGAGGTCAACCAGGGGAGATGTCATCCTGTAGGAAGTCAGAAATAAAGGATGTTATGTTATTGAGAGAGATGAGTATACAAAGACATGAAATCTTCATTATAAGTGGGCATAGATGAAATGGCTAAGGAAAGAAGAAAGGTAAGAGAGTTGGTCACATTTACTTGGAAGAGACAGGTGCCAAAAGCCTTAGGCACATTGTAAGGTAGGATATAAATTAAAGTACTATTGTGGAGGCCAAGAGAAGTTTGAGGGGTTTTTTAGTGTAGTTTTGGATACTGCAGGAAAATGTAGGAAGTAGGTATGGTTATGCCAAGGCAGGAAAAAAGTTTAGTAACTTAATTTTCTGGAGGTTGCGTTTCTAGTAAGTAGCAAAGCTGGGATTTTTAACCCAGACAGTTGAGTTCTAAAGTCTGATTTGAGTTTCTGTGCTTTAAGGCCTCACACATGACACATACTTTCTGGATTAGGCACCTAGGTCATTCTTGGTGAACCTAGCATTTTCAGCTGATGAGTTGGAGCTGAAAGCAGTTTTAATAATTCATTGATAGAGAAGAAATGGATATGAGTAGTGGTGCCTTTTGGAATTTGGAGAGAGAGAAGGATAGGTGCTTAAAAGAAAATATAACTTAAGATTTGAGTTTAGTTTTAGGCTAAGAGGCATGAAGATAATTAAATTAATGGCAAAATCAGTAAAAGAATGGTTGAGTCCAGAGAAGGAGGTGATAAATGAAACTTGGGAGGTATATGAATTGGAGCAAGGATAGACAAGTTAGGGGATAAATAGACTTGGACTGTAAGAGGAGGCACACACCATTTCTTAAACATGTATCAGGTATATATATTCAAGTGTTCTAGATATATTGGGAGAGCTTATGGCCTCTTGAACTTTGGAACTGCTTTTGCATTTGTGAAGTACTAGATTTTGTTATTAGCTCATTTATATGATCTTGCGCTACCAGATTTAATCTCTTCTTTAGTTTCTCTGTAAATAAATGGTAAGCCAGGTATTGTGGACTGTGTCTCCCAACAACTTCCCATGTAATCTAGTGGTGAAGTAAAAGCAACATAATTTTGTAAGAAGATCTTAAAGATTTTAGGCAATGATATATTTCACTCTCTTACAAGTTTGGGATTATATAATCTAAAGAAAGGTCTAGGTTATCTTTGTTCTCAATAATAGAGCTAAAATTGGCCACTCATATCTTGATCATCCCATTAACACCAGTATAGATTATTTGGTGATAGTCTCTTGAAAACTAGCCCATTGGCATATTGTTCTTAAGTTCAAAGGTTTTTGTTTTAATTTAGTAGGTGATGAGATAGTACTTTAAAGGTGTACTGTAAACATAATGCAAATAGTATAGTTGCACTATAGAAATGTGTTTGGAACCAGTTGTCTTTATTTTTCGGTTCTGAATGAAGGTTAGACCTGTAATATTGAATTGTGTTCCACAGAGCAGCTTTAACAGAAAATAGAGAAGCTAGTCATTTGGGGTTTTGATCCTTTTCCCCCTTTAAATGCAGAATAATAATAGTCTAGATATTGCAGTTCCCTGTAAGATTTTAGATGAAAAAAATCCCCTGGCAGATCGATATGAGCATATACTGGTGTGATTAGCTAAAGATGTTTGAAATGCCACAAGGCTTTCCCATCTAATGCTTTAGAAATCAAAATTCCATTTTGGGTGTTATCTTCATATATATCTTCAAGAGTTGATTTATACATTTCATTTAGGAATGTTAACCTGTATATTTGGATTGTGGTCTCTCACACAGAATTCAAAGAAGCTTTTTCACTATTTGACAAGGATGGTGATGGAACTATAACAACAAAGGAATTGGGAACTGTAATGAGGTCTCTTGGGCAGAATCCCACAGAAGCAGAGTTACAGGACATGATTAATGAAGTGGATGCTGATGGTGAGTCTTTAATTTTGGGGTTTGGGGAGGGGGAAGTTGAAATGGCATTTCAATTCTATTGTAATGTTTCAATTAAACCATTTCAGGCAATGGCACAATCGACTTCCCGGAATTTCTGACAATGATGGCAAGAAAAATGAAAGACACAGACAGTGAAGAAGAAATTCGAGAAGCATTCCGTGTGTTTGATAAGGTAGGTTTTCAGGGGATGAATTTCTTAAATTTTAATTTAAAGATGAAATGAAAATAACAATTCAGTATAAGCTCAAATTTCCTAATAACTTGTATTGCATTGATCTTGTGACAAAAGAGGTATCGCTTGACTTTGGAACTAAGAAGTAGTGCTTGTCTCTCAGTGATGTTTAATTTATAGGTCAATTGTTCGTAGATTCTCTTTAGTTTGTGTGGATTTCTAAAGTGTGTTTTTCTCATGTGAATGTAGTAAACTTATTAAACTTTCATCCCAACTCTGATTTTACTTAGGTATTTTAATGGCTTTTTTCTAGGATGGCAATGGCTATATTAGTGCAGCAGAGCTTCGCCATGTGATGACAAACCTTGGAGAGAAGTTAACAGATGAAGAGGTTGATGAAATGATCAGGGAAGCAGATATTGATGGTGATGGTCAAGTAAACTATGAAGGTAAGTCTTTCACTGTCACCACCTCATTCTGTGCTTTAACTTTAGGTTTAGAGGTACTAGGTATCTGATAGGTCAAAATTAGTAACTTCGTTACCCCATGAAGATGTTAAAACAGTATGTTTTCTAACCTTTTGCTATTCAGAATGTGTGTACAGACTGGGCAGCATCCCTGTTACCTGAGAATATTGTAAAACTATTATCAGGTCCTACCCCATACCTAGGATCTGCATTTTTAACAGGAATTCCTGGTGGGTGATTTCATATGTGCATTAAAGTTTGAGATGCACTATACTTTAAACTGTGCTAAAACAATGTTTGTATAATGTTTGTGTAACAGTTTGAAAAGCTTCACTTTAATTTCAAGATCCTCAAAATGAAATTAAGGTGACTTTCTTTTCTTCATTGGATTTCCTTCCTCTACTCAGTTTTAGTCTGAAACTGTTTCATATGCTTCAGATTCAAAAGTATCATTTGTAATACTAAACTAAGCAAGAATACTTTTTATTCATAACTAAAGCATTAATTGGGTTTGTTAATAATTTCGGTTTCTGAAGTTCCAGCCTCTTAGCAGTAGGCTAGCTTTCCTCGGTACTTTAATTTTGAGGAAAGAAAGGGGAATAGAGATTGCTCTGTGGTTGAGTAAATGTGATTGGTTTGGTCAGTCTTTTGCCATTGACTGACTCAACTTTTTGTGTATTCTTTTTCAGAGTTTGTACAAATGATGACAGCAAAGTGAAGATATTGTACAGAATGTGTTAAATTTCTTGTACAAAATTGTTTATTTGCCTTTTCTTTGTTTGTAACTTATCTGTAAAAGGTTCCCCCTACTGTCAAAAAAAAAATATGCATGTATAGTAATTAGGACTTCATTCCATGTTTTCTTCCCTTATCTTACTGTCATTGTCCTGAAACCTTATTTTAGAAAATTGATCAAGTAACATGTTGCATGTGGCTTACTCTGGATATATCTAAGCCCTTCTGCACATCTAAACTTAGATGGAGTTGGTAAAATGAGGGAACATCTGGGTTATGCCTTTTTTTAAGTAGTTTTCTTTAGGAACTGTCAGCATGTTGTTGTTGAAGTGTGGAGTTGTAACTCTGCGTGGACTATGGACAGTCAACAATATGTACTTAAAAGTTGCACTATTGCAAAACGGGTGTATTATCCAGGTACTCGTACACTATTTTTTTGTACTGCTGGTCCTGTACCAGAAACATTTTCTTTTATTGTTACTTGCTTTTTAAACTTTGTTTAGCCACTTAAAGAAAATCTGCTTATGGCACAATTTGCCTCAAATCCATTCCAAGTTGTATATTTGTTTTCCAATAAAAAAAAATTTTACCCAACTGTTGCTCTGAATCTGAGTCATTTCATTAACTTGAGGTCAAATAATTTTGAGAATCAAATGTGGAGGTGGTTAATTGGTATAATTTATAAAACTAAGTTTATTTTTTTTAACTGGTCAAGATTGTGTTTAGCTTTTAAATTATGATAACTTCCTTCAGAAAGTTTAAGTGAAAGATTAAAAACCTTTTGTAAATGTGCCTAGCATGGGAACTGGCATGAGGTAGTTGTTTTAATGTTTTATACCTTTTAAATATGTTTTCCAACTTTGCCATGCAGTGATTTTTTTAAATGTTTGTATTAAGAACACAGCAATCTAAATCCTAATGCTTTACTCATTGTGCTTTTTAATTCTTGAATTCTTTTGCCACAAGGCAAAGGAGACTTCAGTTCTGCCTGCTTTATTTGTAATACCTTTTACAAAAAAAGGTCTCTTTAGGAGTGGATTGGCAGTAACTAAACCTTGTTTTAGTTTTTACTTCTAAACCAGTGCTTTCTCTCATAATTTAAGCTACTCAAAAGCTGGTTATTAGTTTTTATTTTTTATTTAATACTTAATGAGAGATTTCATAGCAAACCAGAGTATAATTGTTAACTGATTATTATAGGCACAAGATTTTTAATTTGGCAGGTTACTACCCATCTTTGACTATTTTAATACCACCGTTACTCTACCAGAAAATAGGAGATTGGATGATTAGTAAAGGAAAAGGGTGATAAGTATGTTTCAGATTAGACAAGGGAAATTACAGGAATTGATGATCCTAACAGTGTATTACATTATTACATATTAGGCAGGCAAATAAAATAAGAAGATGTTCATTAGATTTTAAAGAGTGGTTTTTTAAAAAAAAGGCCAAACAGGGTATTTGGTGGAAGACAATTCATGACTACCTGTTTGAGGCATCTGGGCTTTGGTATTTTATTTCAGTGTTTCAGGTTACTGCTGTATATAAGCTTGAAGAGGTAAAGATTAATCAAGCCTCAGTTATCTTAGCTATAAAATGGGTATAATTTACCCAACTGGTTTCTAACTTGGCTTTTATATTAAGGTAGAAAAGCACTTAGCGTAGTCCTTGGCATTTGCACTAAGTGTTCCATTATTACTGTCCCGGTAAACCAGTTATGACCCTATAAAATGAGGGAATTGGGCAAAGTTAATCTTGTTGGTTTTCCAATTTCAAAAACCAATAGTTTTGAAATTGTTAAGGTAGAAAGGGAAACACTTTTGGAGTACTTTTGTGTGTCATGTTAATGGCTGATTTTATATTTTAATATTCACAGAAGTCACAGTAAGCATTATTTTGGTTTTACAGGAAATTAAAGCACAGAGCAGTTTTACATAATTTAACTGGTTGTTGAGCACAAACTGGGCTGAGTTCACATCTCAGTTCTATTTCCTACAACATAATCTTTAAAATTCAGGGTTATAATTTTAAAATCTTATCTTCAAATCTTTACCATGTTACTTGTTTTATATTAGCAGGGTCATGGTAATTGATAATTTTTTCCTCAATACTATCTGTTGTAGCATGTTTGTGCGTAGATCATTTTAACAAAACCATCATTACTGCAGTTGAAAATGATCCTGGAATGTAATTTTCTTTAAAGATCTGATGTATAGAAAAAAATCACTATTAAGCTCTACTTAGTATAAGGTTGTATTCAAAGAAAAATGCTTGTTATGATCATTTTTAAACTTTTCCCAGTGGTATTGTATAATGCAATGTTTCCTTATGAGGACATTTTGTTTATCCTATATGCTTAATCTGTTTCATTGGTGAAGTCCTTGAAATCATTGACCCATGTTTCTATTTTTGAGATACTCAAGCTATTTTCTCATCTAGATGTTCCCTTCTGTTTCAAACCTTGTGTGGGTTTCTGGACTTCTGTACCTTTCATCATATTGTTTTAGTCTCTAGGGCACCAGTCCCTAGTCTGCTGAGCCAGTTTTTTTCCTGAAAATGAAGTGAGACACAGTGATGGGCTTGATTAGTCTTTTACATTTGTGAAAGCTCTGGTTTTTACTTGCCTCTTGGCCTTTTAATTCTTTATTTCAAACCTGGTGTCTGGCTGTTATTTTTCTCCCTTTTATATGTTTTAAGGCTATGTTAAGTGAATTTAGAATCCCAGTATTTTAAGAGAAATGGAGTTCTCTAGTCACTTGCTACTCAAAAAGTTGTCCATAGAATCACCTGAAAGCTTGTTAGAAATACAGAATTCTAGGCCCTGCCCCAGAATCAGAATCTGTTTTAACAAAATCCCCAGATGTTTGTGTGCACATTTTTAATTTTAATTTTTTATTTAAATATATCTTTATTGATTTCAGAGAGAAGAAGGGAGAGACAGAAACATCAATGATGAGAGAGTCATTGATTGGCTGCCTTCTGCACGCCCCCTACTGGTGGCCAAGCCTGAAACCCAGGCATATGCCCTGTCCAGGAATCAAACTGTGATCTGGGTCATAGGTCAGTGCTCAACCACTGAGCCACGCCAGCTGGGTTGCAGGTTAATTTTTAAAAAGCACTGCTATAGTTCGTCCTCTGATTTTATATAGAGAGAGGAAAACTGGTCATTTATTCAACAAATAATTTAATCCTGTATTCAAAGGACTCAGAAGTAAGACAAAAACCTGTGTTTGGTTATGATTTAAATTGGTCGCAATGAAGTCTTCCAATAAAGGTAAGTACAAGATCCCTTTGGGCTACCAGGGATTAGGCTTAGGGACTTCTCAGAGGAGTTGACCTTTGAGGGTGTACCAGGCTGTCAAAGAAGGGCTAGCATATGGGGAGACCTTAGAAGTGTGAAAGTGGTATGTTTGGGGTTTGTAAGTACAGTTGACCCTGGAACAACAATACAATGGGTTTGAACAGGGTGGGTCCAGTTAACATGATTTTTTTTCCAGTAAATACAGTCCCTCCATATCCTTGAGTTTCACATCTACCGATGCAGAGCCAATTGTATGCATTGTTCTAAGCCATTTTATTATTTTTTAATATATCTTTATTGATTCCAGAGAGAGAGTTGAAACATCAATGATGAGAGTGTCATTGATAGGCTGCCTCCTGCATGCCCCGACTGGGGATTGAGCCCAACCCGGGCATGTGCCCTGACCTGGAATCGAACTTCGACCTCCTGGATTCCAGGTCGATGCTCAACCGCTGAGCCCCGCCCAGCCAGGCTCAGCCATTTTATATAAGGGCCATAAGCATCTGAGGATTTTGGTATCCCTGGGGCTCCTGGAACCAATCTATGGATACCAAGGGACTGTAGCTAAGGTTTTGGGAAGTCAAAAGTTAGCATGGACATTAGGTGGCTTGGGGTTGGCACTCCTAATCCCGTGTTCAAGGGTCAACTCTGTACATCAAAGCATGAGTTCCTGAAGAGGGAGAGGAAATTGGATTGTAAATTTTGCTTTTGTCCTAAAGGCAATGATAGACCATATTTACTGAACACAGTGGGCCAGACATGGTTCCAAACATTTCACTCAGTCTTCATAATCACCTTCTGGGGAAGGTACCAGTTTATTACCACCTTTATAGACAAAAGAAGCACAAATCACAGCAAATGCAGCCAACATTCAAGTTCTGGTAGAGAAGGAGAGGGATTCAAGAGTGAGGGAGTGGAGTATTCAATGCAGCAATGACAATGGAGGGCAAGTTAAAAGCTGAGAAATGCCCATTGGATTTGGCCATTGGATCACTGGTAAATTTAGCAAGTGCAAATTTAATGAAAAGGTGTATGCTCATGCCAGATTAAGATGGTTTTAGGAAAGTATGGGAGGTGAAAGTTTGAGTCTACTCTTGAAATTTTGTAAAAGAGCAGAAACTTCATGGTGGTTTGGACACAGTCACTGGAGTCAGACCTGGACTTGAGCTCTGCCGCCGCTGTATGATGCTGAGGAAACTGTCCAAGGAGGTCCCTTTTCTCCTTTATAAAATGAGATTAATACCTACTTCACAGGGTCGTGGGGATTAAATTAATGTATGTGAAGTATCTGGAACACAGCAGGTACTCTCCAAAATGGAATTACTAAGGTTGAGGGGAGGGTTTGTTTTGAAAGATGAAATTGTTTATAGGTGAGATGGTACATCAAAAGGTTGAAAGTGAAAGGGTCTGATAGGAAAGGGTGGTCTGTGGTTTCACAGTAAAGCCTGTTGGGTCTAGTGCTCTACTTCCAAAGTCAGGCAAGAGAAGTGACACAGAATTTCCATCTGGAGGAGCATAGAAACAATCCGAAAGTGGGTCCTACCTGATTTTTGCCTTAGAGCTAGGTATCCCTACCAAGCATTCTGTCCCCTTTCCTGGGGCTACGTGATTGGGGATGATTTGTGAAAGCGTTTATGGAGATGATGGTACGCCCAAGCCTTTCCTAACCGCCTTTAAAAGTCTCTGAGCAGCCTGCCTGGTGCTCAGTTGGTTAGAGCGTTGGCCCCCATGCCCCAAGGTGTGCGAAAAATTAAAAAGTCTCGGTGCAGATACTGAAGCTGAAGGCTTTCTGGTGAGTCCACGCTGCGAAGCACCAGACTTCAGAGCGTGTGCCTGCCTCCCTTCCCCCACCACTGGGGAACCACTTTGGGGGGAAGCCTGCGCGCGCACGCGCACACTGGGCACTGCGCCCCGCGGGGTCTCCTGGCAACCAGGCTCCAGTCTCCGCCCAGCGCTGAGGAGGTCGCGATGGACCAGCCAGAAGGCCCCGTCCCTCCCGCCGCAGTAAGGGAAGACTCGGGCGTGGCCGTGCGTGGCCGTGGCCTCGCACCGATGTCCGCCCGGTGCCCAACCACTGGCGCCTTCTGCTCGACTCTTCGCCAGAAGTCCCCCATCTCCGGACGGGCCTCTGCGCCCCTCCTCTCCTCCCTGTTCTCACCCCCTGTAGTCCTTCTGATCTTTATTTGAGCTCTACTTCGTTTCATTTCCTCTGCCCTTGCTACTCCCTTATCCTTCCGATTTGCCTTTTGTTTTCTGTATGTCCCCCCTTCCCTACGACTAATGCTCTGGACAACCGCTTTAATTAGATTTCTTTCATTTTCTCCTGTCTGTCGAGAGATGGGTTATTTTTTTTTCAGCTTATGGACAGGTTCTTGAGTTTAGTATTTGTAAAATACTTTAAACTACCTTTGTTTAGTGTTTAAATTTGGACTAGGGATGTTTAGCCTATCTTTTGTAAAGTGATTCACCCCAAAAGCGAATTTGAAGTGATAGATGGGTGGAGTTTAGATCACCTGCCTTGGGCAAAACAAAACAGCAGCTGGCAATTACCTTCCTTTGGATATATCATGTTTACTTCTCCCTTGGCCTTCCCAACTCATTTTCCTGGCCCAGGTGGAGTTGGGAGACCTGTTTTGACCTGCCTGGGAAAGTTTGATTTCTGTGACTATAAATGTGCAACAGAGAACATTCAGTATAATAAATCTAATAAAGGGAATGTATAAAAGGAAATTCAGATTAGTGTGTATGAATTCAGATTGTGTGTATGAAATAATGTTTTTTAGAGAAATGCATATATTTCATAGTAAAACTAAAGTCAAGGGTACTCATAAATCGAGAGGATATAAGTTGCTAGACAGGAACAATGAATTATATCAGTTTTGCTGATTCGATTGTTTATTATTTTTAATGCATTATTACTTGAGATAACCCATATTTTGTACTAATAAATACATTATAAATGAAAGTAGAAGTCAATATTTTAATGATTTTACTTAGTGGGAACAGCACAAAAGGAAAAATGAGCAATTATGTTCTGTTAACAGTGAGGCTGAATAAAATGTGGAAAAATTTAAAAAGGGTATAGAGTACTTATTATGGAAGACAAGAGTGTCCTTGGAAACTGAATACCAAAATAATCTGCTTAACTTGTTAGATGAGATGTTAAAAATAAAAGCTACCATTTATTATTGAGCACTGGTTGTGGGTGCAAGTGTTTATATGTACAGTGCCTTATGCTCATGCCAACCCTCATATGCCTTATTTTTATACTCCTAAGAGGAAGCTGAGGGTCGGAAGGGCCAAAGTAATTTGCCTAGTACTCTTAGCTAGTAAGTGGCAGACCTGGAGTTCAAGCCCAAGTCTGTCTGGCTCCTCTATCAGTCTGACTCTTCAGTGTCAAAGCTAGCTGGACAAGCTGAGAGAACTGGCTGTATATTTATATAATACATATTTGATAATGTATGTAAATCTAGGAAATGGCAGCTGGCAACGTTTGCCATATCTCCAGGAGTTTGTATCCCAATGTCATATTAATCTGATGACTACGCATTTTGACCTTGAGCTCCAGCACAATCACCTGAGCCATGGTTTTAGGGTAAACCGTCCAAGCAGTTTTTATTTATTAATATTCATAAATGCACACAGCAGCTTCATTAGAGATGTCAGTTTTCCTCTTCAGTTTGAATGTGGAGTACTAGGAGAGCCTTTTGCATGTTAAGGTACAGGAAGCAGAGATCACCCCTGCACTGTTACCTATATTTCCCTGCTAGAAGTAAAAATTAGTTAAGTGGAAATCATACATATTTTTTCTCTTCCTTTTGAATGTATACAACATAGCAAGTGTCAGACCTGATTGCAATCACCAAACAAACCCAAGGTAGTTGTTCACTTTCATTGGCAAATAAAGCCCAGAGGGCATTGTCTGCGAATGGGGCGTCATTGAAGAGGAGGAGGTAGAGGCTCATTTCCTTTATTACTTTCTTTTAAATTTAGGTTTTCTAAAGCATCTAGAACATCTAAGGGCATAATATCTATACAGTCCTTGACACCAAAATCTGCCATGTCCCCCAGTTCATCCTTGTCTGAGGACGAGCTCTCTTCACCCACTAAAGTGGACAGAAGGACTGAGCCATCAATCTTAACAATTATGAAAATACAGTTTTGGATTTACACAACTCTTTTCTTCCCAAGAACACCAAATTTTGTCACATCTAATTATCCTTATGGTATCTCTGTCACATGCAGGTGTTTATTGCTCTAATTTTCCCAAAGGGAATTTAGATATTTAAAAAGCACTTAAAATAATAAAATAGCAATTTAAAGAAATATTACAGGCAAAATAGATCATGATGTAGCTTTTAATTCAGACTGACCAATTTGGTGCAGGTATTAATTAATTCAAGTAAATATTTTCTAAATTATATTTAACTTCCAGGGATCGCCTTTCAAATGAATAAGCATATTTTATGTTTGTTAATAGAAACCAACCCGGAAGACATCGTCTTTTGAACGAGAAGGGTGGTGGAGAGTAGCATTAACAGTATGTATATTTTTACTCTTTTCTATTCATGCTATTCTTATTCCATTAGTATTTGATTTAATCAGTCTTACCTTTTAAGTCACTAGCACTTACAGTGGGCCTTATTTTATACTTATAATTTTAATATTAGCATATGAATGAGACTAAATTTTTTATTTAAAAGCTTGGAAAAGTAAAACAACTCTAGAAATCTAGTTGCGTTACAGAATAGCTAAGAAAGATCAACCTAGTTTATGATCTTGGCCGGGCGTGGCTCAGTGGTTGAGCATCGACCTGGGATCCAGGAGACCAGGGTTCAATTCCCGGTCAGGGCACATGCCCGGGTTGCGGGCTCAATCCCCAGTGGGAGACATGTGGGAGGCAGCTGATCAATGACTCTCTCATCATTGATGTTTCTCTCTCTCTCTCCCCCTTCCTTTCCTCTCTCTGAAATCAATAAAGATACTAAAAAAAAAAAAAAAGATTACACAAGAAAGGAAAAAGCATACATCTGGAGAGGTTTCTGGGTTTCAGTTTTTAATCTCACTTAGATGGCATAGAGCCTATGAAAACTTTTATTCATTAATATGGTCAGCATAAGAAAGCAAGATGGTAATACACGAAAGTAAAACGACCAGAAGATCTCCCTCTCAAGAGACGTCATTTCTATATTGCAGAAGTATTTCCTATCCACGCCCTGCAATAACAGAGAGATCCCCTGGGCCAAAGCCTTCCTGGAATTGAACTCATTTTAACGGTGGAACTGAGCTGAGTGCTCAGTGGAAAGATGGCCACAAAAGCAGCAGTGACTAAACCTTCAGGTTTGGCCATTTAGCCACATTGTGGTTGGGATTTGAAAGTACCAAACCCCTTATTGGACTAATGAAGCGAGATGCTCTGCCATATTCATTCTCTGCCTCATGTCATTATCCCGTAGCTTCCCACTTGAGGGCTAGACAGAAACATGTAGCATCTACTAAGCAGGAGTAGGATAACTTTTATTTAGTCAAGAAACATCCTAAGTGGTCTCGCTAGAGGCCTGAGATTTATAGTCGAGTTGAATCTCAAGTTGAAGTATCTGTAAAGCTACTTTTTAGGAAGTTCAAACTTCAACTATGGCCATAACCCATTTGCTATAACTCAGCAGCTGTCTCAGAAAGGAAGTAATTGTGATTCTCTTGAACTATTGTTCTGTCCAGAGTGTTTACTATATTTTAATAGAATTTTATTAAACTTTAAAACAAAGAGAAATGCTGCTTAGGAGTGACCCTTTCGAGAAGGCTGCTTTCGGAGATGTTGCCAGTTTACACACTGATTTGAAAAACGATGTCAATTTTCCACAGAATACTCCTGTCCCCGGCACTTACCACTTGAAAACTTTTATTGAAGAATCCCTATTAAATCCAGTGGCAGCAACCTACAATTTTAAAAATGAAGGAAGGAGAAAACCACCTCTTGTGCAAAGAAACAATCCAGTACTAACCGACCTTCCCCCGTACATGCCTCCTGACTTCTTGGACTTGTTGAAGAAGCAAGTGACCACTTATTCATTTAAAGACCAACCACGGTCAAGCCCCAGCTCACTGGTTTACAGAGATCAGGTAAAGTGCTACGAGCAGCTGGGTGTTTGTGGGAACGCTGCCAAGAGCTCTGAGAAAGATAATCTGTATAATTTAGAGTGTATCTTCCCCAGTAGAAGTTAACAATCTTTAGGATGCCTTATTTTCTACAGAAATCAAACAAGGGCTGCAAATATTTCCAGCAAGATTTTTCCCTGTGAGGCCTCCTGAACCTAAGGAGAGGCCTTGGGGGGAAATGTTCCCTCTGGAGGGAATCTTGGCAGGATTCCCCCAACTGAGGGAGCCTCTGGGATCTTATTTGTGGTTGGCCCATGCTTCTGGTCTTTTCAAGCAGTTTGCACAGTGTTCTCTCTTCTTTTAAAAAAGAAAACTCTGCCTTTCTGTGAGTAAGTACCCTTATTAGAATGTGAATATGACTATATACCATAGGGAAACTTTTTCTAAAATTTCTTGTGGAAATGAGCACTGTGGTACCAGGAAGGTAAGATTCTACTCTCAGCCAGCAGTTCATTCACAACATTGATAATATAGAGCACTGCTATGCTTACGGCCCTGTGCTAGGCTCCGTGGAGGGAAGGTGTTCCTGACTCAGAAATATTTAAGTAACAATACAAGAGCAAATATATCAAATGCTGAGATAAATAGTATAGCAGGAAATGCCAGGGGAGGGTTCATTGTAGGCTGGATTGAAAGGTTGGAAGTTTTCCTGGATGAAATAGGACTCACACTGGGCCTCGAATAATATATGACGTTTATGTGGCTCTTAATAGTTTACTGTGAGCTTCTACGTATATTCGCAGTTCTTCCCAAGCATTCTGAAATAGAACAGATGTTATCCCCATTTTACATACAAGTAAACTGAGGTGAATAGAGATTAAGTGACTTGTTCAGAGGTACATAGCTAATAAGTAGAGCAGGTAGTACTTTTAACTGAGGGTTTCTGAGTCCAAATTCAGCACTCTTTCCAACCTACTCTGTGCCTCTGGCCTTGAATAAGGGGTAGGGTCTGGATGGGTGGAACCCAAGAGCTGTGTCTCAAAGTCTGGCATAGCACTGTAAAGGGTCTGTTCAAGGGATGGATAGAGTTGTGACTTGGACTTTGTTACTTGAGACTTGGGCCTTACTATCTCCCATTTATAGGGAAGCTAGTAATAGTATCAGTCTTCACAACCTTATCAGAATATTGTTGTGATAACCTGAGAGGAAATGCATTGCAGCTGGAAGTTGAATGAAATACAAGTGGTTGTGGTTATTGGGAGGGACAAGAATTTTTCTGTGGGGTGAGTGCATGTTGTATCCAATGTGTAAACCCATCCTACTGCTTTGCAGGTTATAGCTCAGAAACAGGACAGAATGGTAAAGGTCACTGGGTAATTCTTATCCCATTCATTTCAGAGGATGACTAGAAACACTAAATTACACCTAGACTCTTAGGCTTGGTAGCAGCTCACCGGGCTTCCTGGGAAGTCACTCTGGCCACTCCCAGGGCAAAATCGTTCTTCTTGTTCTCCACTACCCTTTGCTTCCCTTCTCCTTCATCTCCTCTTGCTTTCAGGGGTTTCTGAGGGGAGGCTGAGGTTCACCGATGAAGAGAAAACACAGAAGGTTGGTATTAGACAAAATTTAAGGCTTTAAAAGACCAAAGGAGTTTGGCTTACCCACAGGGATGGCTGAAACCTTCTGAAAACATATTTTTCCTGTTCCTTTCTTTTCTTTCTCCTCTCTTCCCTGCCTCCCACGAAGGACTGAGCTCCCGAAACTGGGAGAATGAAATGTTTTCCTAACTTTCTGTTTCAAAGGTCTATGACACTGTGTTCACAAGAGGAGACATACCCAGATGTAACATTGTTTACTCACCAATAAAACTCATAGTTCTTCTTCTTCTTCTTTTTTAATCCTCACCTGAAGATATTTTTTCCATTGCTTTTCAGAGAGAGTGGAAGGGGGGAGAGAGAAGCATCGATGTGAGAGAGACACATTGCTAGGTTGCCTCCCCCACGGGCCCCAACCAGGGTGGGGGATCCAGCCTGCAACCCAGGAATGTGCCCTTGGCCGGAATCAAACCCGGGACCCTTCTGTCTAAGGGCCAATGCTCTAACCACTGAGAAAGCTGGCTAGGGCATAATTCCTTTTGTTTTAATGGCAGAACTCAGTAAAATAATAATTTGAATTTGAGGTAGATATAGTATACATTAATATTATTACTTATTAAGATAGAATGACATTCTCTCAAGCTTCATGATTTTTAATAGAATATTCACTTTATACCTCATTAGTGCTGTTTATTATTTGTAAGAAAGTTTTTACTATTTTTAACACCTTTATTCTGAAGCATGTAACTCAACTAGAGAATCTGTATCAAAGAATCTTATACACATATATATATAGATATATACACACACACATACATATATTTGAATGTGTGTGTGTGTGTATAAGGAAGTCAAGGTAGTAAAGGGGGTCAAATATATGGTGACAGAAGATGATTTGTCTCTGGGTATTGACCACACAATGCAATATACAGATCACATATCACAGAAATCTACACTTGGAGCCTATATAATCTTATTAACCAATGTCACTCCAATAAATTTAATTTATAAAAAAGAGTATTTGAGCCCAGCCAGTTTGGCTCAGTGGTTAGAGTGTTGGCCCACAGACTGAAGGGTCCTGGTTTGATTCCAGCCAAGGGCACGTACCTCGGGTGCAGGCTGGGCCCCGGGCCCAGGTTGGGGCCCATGTGGGAGACAACCAATTGATGTGTCTCTCTTACATCAATGTCTCTCTCTCTCTTTCTCTCTCCCTTCCACTCTCTGAAAAGCAATGGAAAAAATATCCTTAGGTGACGATTAAAGAAAAACAAAAACAATAAAAAATAAATAAATAAAAAAGAGTATTTGAGATGGCCCTAAAATTTTTACAATTTTTTTTTCTTATCAGAGAAATAATGCATTTTTATTGTAGAATATATGTACAAAAGTGGGACCATCTCTCTTCATGTACATAGATAGTTTGTGTCCTGCTTTTCCCCACTCTTGCAGTCATCCACTAATCCCAGGGTTACCCCCCCTTATTTCTGGATGATTTAGCTCCCTTGGCTCCCTGTCACTCTTTCTACTCCTCCTGTCATAATTTCAGTACACATGTAGATGATCTTCCAGCAATCTCCCTTCTCAGTTTCTTGACCTCTGCTCTATCTCAGCTACGCACTCCTTGGGTTTTTCCAAGACCAGTCATTTCAAACCTACATAATTTCAGCTGCATGCACCCCACTCTGATCACTCCTGATGTTCAGCCTCATTCACTCTAGTATGCCAGTTCCCCCAGTTTTTCTGTTCCCCCAATCTATAATCCATTGATCCTACTTGCAAAGCTTAAATCTCATAGTTGGTCGTCAGAATTACAGCCTGAATTCGCTCTCAATTCCCTTGCCCCTGATGGCACATCTCACTTGTTTGTCAAAGCCACACACCTGGGTAAATTTAACTCTCTGGGGACTTTGTACCTGCATCCATGCCGCTGAATGACTGGCCTCATTTTATAGTCTCACCTCATGTGTGCACCGAATGGGCTTCCCTAGCCTGTTGACTCTCCCGCTCTCCTGGGTGGCTTTATCTCACATCTCCCCATTCCAAACCCCAGACATCTCCGCCTCAATCCTCATTCTTATTTTTTCTTCTCAGCCTTTTTGCTGGTTCGGCCCCTCTTCCCTGATCTCTTGCGGGAGCGCCCCAGATCACCAGACCTCTTCCTCAGCTACACTCACTCCCTTGGTGACCTCGTTTAGTCTCGGCTTTGAACACCATCTCTGTGATTTCTAAGTTATTTCTCCTGCCCAGACTTCTCTCTTGAATTCCAGACTTGTATACCCAACTGCTTTTTTGACTTCTCCACTTATATGTCTAATTCAGGGTTTCTCAACCTTGGCACTATTAATATTTTGGACGGGATAATTCTTTGTTGTGGGGGACTGTTCTGTGCTTTCTAGCGTGTTTAGCAGCATTCCTGGATAATTGATGCCATTAGCTAATCAGATGCCAATAGCAATCCCCCCTCTCTGTTGTAACAACCGAAACATCTCCAGACATTGCTGAATGTCCCCTGGGGGGCAACCCCCCTCCTGATTGAGAACCACTGGGTTTAAATCTTTTCGATAGTGGGTGTGATCTCTGAGTGGTTCTTCTCAGGGTCAACAGTTCTGTTGTGAACTGGCTTTATTCCAGACCTCATCTTTTACTACTCCCTTTCACTCTCTTCCTGCCCTGCTGGCCTCCTGAATTTACTTCCTGAATCTGCCACTCCCGCCTCAGGGTCTTTGCACTGGGTCTGGCCAGTTCATTGATCTTTGTTAGCTGTGTTTATAGCTGTGATTATGATGATGTCTCTGAAGACGTGTTAATTGAAAGTGCTCCATGGTACCACCCACTGAAGGGATTTTCAACAGAGTGGTTTTTCACTGAACAAGGTACTGACCGAACTGGCAAGTGATACTGTAGGGAACTCAAAACTTAAATACTGGAATAATGAAAAGCAAAACATAGGTAAGATGGAGCAATTCATTGTACCAACACCATTTGAATGAAAAAAGTGGCCCTAAAAATTGGCTTGTTTATCACATATTTTTGAGACTGAATTCTCAAAAAGCAAGTGCAAGGGAAAACACTAGTTGTCACATGCAAATATGTCAAGAGAAGCAAATGACAATGGATTTTGAAAGATGGACATAGAGTACTTATCTCAGGCACTGGAACACACTTGTAATTATTAGTTTTGGAGCTGATAAAGATTACAGGGTACTGGTAAAATTAAGAACAATATCATTGGTTTCTGCTTCATTTTCAGATTTGTTTACCTTGCCTCCTTAACTCTTTCCTGCTTCCACTATCTGAGGTCAAACCTCACACTATCTCAGCTGCAAGGATGTCAGGAGTATATAGCAGTGTTTTAATAGAGTATCTCCTAAGATAAGCCAAAGAAGTCTGAGGTGACTCTACAAGGTTGCACAGTATGTGATTTTGTCT